CATTCTACAGATGAGGAAGCTGAGGCTTTAAAAAGTTGCATCTCATACTCAAGGTTACAGGCTTGGTGAGATGCAGAGCCAGGAACATTTTGGTAGCATTTGAATTCCTGCCATATTTTGCTAAATGTGCCCTTGCTGTTACCAAGGACCAGAGTCTTCTCAAATCCAAACATTTCTGCAAGATTAAGGCTTGAATTGCTTTTATGTATAAGTCACTAGACAACTGGCAAGTTACTTGAATCACTTACACTGAGAGGTACCCATCTGTAAACTTGGATTCTTACAGGCTTGCTCAGAAGTATGCAGTGGTGATAAGATGCTCTACACTCCTGCAGTGTCTTCCACGAATACCAGAAACAAATTCTCACCTGCTGTTTGTGGTCCCTATCCTGTGCCAGGCACTTCTCTAAGCATTTGGCATATATTAACCTATTTAATCTTCACAGTGACCTAGAATCCCCATTCAACTAATGAGGAAATTGAGGCAGTTAAGTAAAGTCCCCAAGTTTTCCTACATGGTAAATGGCAGATCTGAAATCCAGACTATGACAGTTTGGCTTAGGAGCCTGTGCTGGTAACCACCAGGATATGGTGTTCCTTCAAGGTAAAAGACATTCTAAGGTGAATAAGAGCCAGAGAGAAAGAGAGGGAGAGAGAGAGGAAGGGAGGGAGGGAGGGAGGGAGGGGGAGAGAGAGAGAGAGATGGATGTGCATTTGTTCTGTATGAAGTCTCTGCACCCTCTAGAGAGCCTTTTCTTTAGTGGGTACTCATTAAGTGTATGTGGGGTTGTTCAAGTTGCAGATAGACACTAACCCCATGCCTGCTCTGGTCATTTAGTGACATCAAAAGCTGCAGTCTTTATAAAGTCCAAAAAAGCACCAGTGCTATTTCTAACAGATCCTTGATTGGACTCAGATGACAAAGCTATGAGCAATTAAAAAGAAACAAAACACTTACCTGCTACACCAGTAAGGAAGAAACTGATGAGGAAGCCTAGAAAGCAATGTTTAGGCATCATGGTTGCAAGTGTGACTGTTCAGGCAACCAGTGTTCCCTTTAACCAGCTCAGGACCAAAGAGGAAACTAAAATCCACAGACAGACTATCACTCCTGGGTTTAAGGCAGATGGTTCCTTGAAGCAACTACAGTTTTATTTCGATACGACATTATATTATTTTATTTTAGGCAAATTATGAAAGTATAAAAATCACTTCAAAAAGCATTTGCTGCCACTTTTATGTGGAAGCTTGTTTTTATTGGGAAGCTCGTTTTTTGTTGGGGCTTCGTTAGCTGTGGAAAGGCAAAACACTGAGGATGGGCAGACCCAAAGGGCAGGGCAGTGCAGGGATTGTGCAAGTGGCAAGCAGGTGAGTGAATGAAACGACTTGTGGGGCCTTAAGGGAATCTGGCCCCAGGAGGCGGAGAGGCTGCCAAAGACTAGGACTTGGCAGCCAGGGTGATTTTGAGTAATATGCTTGGCAGTTGCAGCTATCGGGCCCACTGGTAGTGGTTCAAAGCAAGAGGTGTCTCTCGTTGATTCACTCTTTTCCTTCCGTTTTGGTAGCTCCCCAATTAATCTCCCTGCTATGCCCCATACCCTCCCGCTGCCTCTAGCTCTCCACAGGGCTCCCTGCCATACTCCTCAGCCTCCTCCACTCCATAGTGGTCCTGGGCTCCGTTTAGCTAATGCCTATTCCTCTTCCATTTTCACATGCAGTCTCCAGTGAGCTGGAAAAAGATTTTGAGCCCGTCAAACTGCATGATTCCTTTAAAAGATGAATGGGGAAGACACTCCTTTTGAGCTACATTAGATCTTTTTCACATTGTCTTTCAAATCTGATTGAACCAGCTCATCTGTTCTCTATGATTCATTATATCATTCTTCTTACCATTTTTTTTTTACTACATGTGTTTAGAGGTACTAAAATTATACATGAAAGAACAAAAAAGTCATGTTCCATAGTGAGCGAGTCTGTGCAAACCTACCCTTAAAGTCCAAGGAAGCTGCGAGGCCAAAGAGAAAGGCTGACATATCCAGTTTCTCAGAAAGAAGCATTTAATAGGGACTTATGAACAGAGCCATATGTGTGTCCTGGACAGTGGCAAGACAAGATGGTGGACCCTCATGCCATTGCCCTGTAGACCTGAAGAAGGAATTAAGGAAATCAACTATAACCTAATAGTGGTAGTAATAGAAATGTTAAAATCCTCTTAAAGTTACTGCAAAGTGTGACCCCCCCCTCCACTGTTACACTGAAGTTAAAAGGGAATATTAACAGCCTATCTTCTCTCCATGAACAATGGACCTTATCTATACTCCCCAACTCCACATTCCTCAAAGTTTATTACAGGCCCAGCAAGTTCCTGCACGACTGCAGGGTCACAAGACCGATAAGTTTCGGTTGCAAGACATGTCTTTCTCAAAACGTAAGAAATGTTGTAATGCTGCCTTTGTTTCTTGCTTCTGTAACTCACTTCCCACCTCATGTAGTTCCCATCTTAAGATGTTTAAAAGTAGGAAAAGCTCTTTGTTCATGGCTCAGACTTTCTGGACGTATGTCCTACTGAACCGGTGATCACCTTCATAAACTCTCCTGAACCTTTTTCGGTCTCTCCAGTCTTTGATTGTCCCACAACATTTCTGGGGGCCAGTCCAGGATTAGAGATGGCAGATTTTCTGTCTCCTTTGCCTGTGGGCTAGAGTCCCAGGACGTGGGAGATCTGGGGTCCTTGGTCCTGCTGGGAGAGTTTTAGCCCAAAAGGAGAACAGCCGTTCCACATTCCGGAGCCTTCCCCCGACGGCACAACTGGAACCAGTGGAAAGGGTTGCAGGACAGTCACAGGAACAGTGTGCAGACATATGAACCACGGTAAGGTTTGGGCCCTAAGGCAAGACCTGTCCCATAAGGATGGAAGGGGAGCCTGGTCACCTCCCAGGGCATGACAACTAGTCCAATCCAAGGGGGTTGGAACAATGGGAGAGGCCCATTGATTCAGATGAAACTCACACTCTAACTGACACCAGACGCAGGTGGGGCTTGTGAGTCGGTCAGAAAGGAAAATCATTTTGGGGATGGGGGAGGTGTGTGAAAGTGTGTGAAAGATGGTCTTAGGAGAGACCAAGGCAGGGTTGATGTGGGGAGGCACAGATCTCTTAGTGTGGACTGTGTGCTCCGAGGTGAGTGTGGGAAAAACCAGACCTAGGACACTGCATACGGCCCATAGGACCAGCTCCACGGCTGCAGGTAGCTGTGACAGGAATTAAGGCATGCTCCTGGCTAAGCAGTGTCCGAACCTCCTATAATAGGACCCGGTCTGGGGGATCCAAGAGTGAAAGTGAGAGTGAAAGCACGTCGTGAGGGAGGAAATGGGAGGAAAAGCGTCAAAGCCTACTCCGCTGGAGTGCATGCTGAAAAACTTGAAAAAAAGATTTTAATGGTGATTATGGGGTTAAGCTAACTCCACAGAAACTGAGAATCTTTTTTGAGATAAAACAGCCATATTTTAACGTAGGGTGGCCAGCCAAGGGGACAATAGACAGGGAGATAACTGGCTGAGTGTTTCAGGTGGTTACCAGGCTTGGAGAACAGCCTGGGCACCTGGATCAGTTTCCATATATTGACTCCTGGCTAAATGTAGTTCAGACCCGCCCTAAGTGGCTGCAGGCCTGCTTTGAGACCTACTGTAAGACTCTAATGGCCAAGACAAAACCAGAAACAATAGAAAGAAGCTGCAAGGCATCAGGAAAAGAAAAGGAGTCACAGGAAAAGCAAAAACAAAACAAAACAAAAAACAAAACAAAACACCTGTCCTACAGGCCCCACCTGAAGAGTTAGAAATTCCACCGCACTATGCACCAATTTATCCTCCCTTGGCCCCTGGCAAGGCTTAGATAGGAGGCTGCCCTGGCTACCTCCGGAGACTCAGACTCAGAAGGAAGCACCCCTCAGGCAACACCATGCAGAGAAGAGCCAGAGCCCTTGCCTGAAAAGCCAGGGGAGGAACTCCAGGGGGATAAGGTCAGCTGCCTTAGGTCAGTTCGCGTGCAAGCAATGCAGATGCCACTCTGAGAAACCTGGGGACAAATTTATTTGAATGCACAGAATGAAGTCCAAGGGGGAGAACAGCTCTTCATTTATCAGTCCTTCTCTACTACTGATCTCTTAAATTGGAGACAACATACTCCCTCCTATACAGAGAAGTCTCAGGCTCTTATAGATCTAATGCAGTCCATTTTCCTAACTCACAATCCTACCTGGGCTGATTGCAAACAACTTCTTCTGTCATTATTTAATATGGAAGAGCACTGTAGAGTTATACAAGCCACTCTCCAGTGGCTGGAGAACAATGTACCCACAGGCACAAGAGATATCAGGCAGAATGTACAACAAGCACTCCAGATAGAGGCTGATGCAGGCTGGGACCCTAACCAGGCTCAAGGGCTACAAAGTTCGCTGCGGTATCAAGAGGCACCCCTAAATGGAATAAAGGCTGGAGGGAAAAAGTCCACCAACATCAGAAAGCTCTCACAGGTCTGCCAGAAGCCAGATAAAAGTCCCAGTGAATTTTATGAGAGGCTCTGCGAGGCTTACCAGCTTTACATGCCACTTGACCAAGAGGCTGCGGGTAATCAGTGTATGGTTAATGTGGCATTTGTAAGTCAGGCACAAGAAGACATAAAGCAAAAGCTTCAGAAGTTAGAAGGGTTTGAAGGCATGAATATTACGCAACTTATCTAGGTGGCTACTAAGGTGTTTGTAAATCAGAATGAGGAGGCCAAGAGAAAAGCTAGATGCAGAACTAAGGAAAAGGCAGACTTGCTGGCGGCGGCCTTAGTTGGAAGAGAAACTTGTTTTGTGAGAGGATGTGGTCATGGTTGCGGTCATGATAAAGGACAAACTAGGCAAAACCAGGAAGCTAAGCCAGGACAAGAGGGCAGACCTAGGCTTGAGAGAGATCAACGTGTGAGATGCAAGCAGATGGGACACTAGAAGAATGAATGCCAAATTGTCCAGTGCCCTTGTTAGGAAGAGACTTGCTCCAGAAATTGCAAGCACAAATCTCCTTTGCACCAGAAGGGGACATGACTCTAAATCTAGGTCAAAGAAAAGCCATGATAATGACCGTTACTGTCCCAACAACAGAGGAATGGTAATAATTTGGGTGCCCCAAACAGTTGTGACCCTGATGGAGCAGAAGGGGCATCGCTGGCTTTCTAACCCTAGGATGTTAAGATATCAAGGACTTTTGTGTAAAAACCCCGACATAACCTTGGAGACTGTGAATACTGTAAATCCAGCCACACTGCTGCCAATAGAATGGGCGGAGCACGGAAAGCCCCCATTGTGTGACCCAGGGTATCACTGTTGTGTGGAAACTGTGGATGAGGTTTTCTCAAGCTGAAAAGGCTTAAAGGACTAGCCCTTAAAAGACCCATATGTTAAATAGTTTACTGATGGAAGCAGCTTCATATCTAAAGGTGTCAGATGGGCTGGATATGCAATGGCAACACTGACTTCAGTAGCCGAAGCCTGCCCTCTGCCGGTTGGAACTTTGGCCCAAAGAGCTGAGCTAATAGCTCTTACTAGGGTGTTGCTTTTGGCCAAAGGAAAATCAGTAAACATCTATACTGACTCAAGGTATGCCTTTGCCACTTTGCATGCCCATGGAGCCATATATAAGGAAAGAGGATTGTTAACTACTGAAAGAAAGGAAATAAAAAATAAAAAGTAAGTAGAGCAGCTCTTAGAAGCCGTATGGGCTCCAAAAGAAGTAGCCGTCATCAATTGCAAAGGGCATCAAACAGGAGGAGGTGACAAGGCTAGGGGAAACAGAAAGGCGGACAGAGAAGCCAAAAGAGTTGCAATGACAGAGGTAACTAAGAAGGAAGAGGAAACCTTTGCCATGCCCTTATTGGAGCTTCCCCTTAAGGAACCCCCTAACTACTCCTCTAATGAAAAGGCTTGGTTTGAGCAGGAAAGTGGAAGTTACCAGAAAGGAAGTTGGTGGAAGTTCTCAAACAGGAGGCTCACCAGCCATCCCAGAAGCAATAGCCCCCGGTTCATAAAACAGTTTCATCAAGG